GAGGAAGGGAGGGCGGGGGGGGGAGGAGGAGCCACATTGATATAGCACACTTCACAAATACACAACACCCAGTCACAGAGTTCCCCGGGGAAGCAGTCCTAGGGACCCATTATATTCTGAGACCCTGAGCATTAGACACACAGTCTGATTGTGGTTCCCTCTAACATGGGACTTGGAGAAAGAGCAAATACCGTAGCCATATTTACCCAGCCAGAATGATGCCCACTTCCCAAACAGTTCCCACAGCACTGAAGATCTTTCTCTACATAGATTCCAGCTAATGACCGAGCCTCTGCAAAGACCCAGCCCAGCCCCTTGGGGACCATAATAGTCCCACATCACAACCCAGCCTCTGGAAGAGGACCAATGCCTAGGAGAGGGGAGGGTTGGGGACAGCACTCACCCTCCCCATCCCTCTGTCACCAATTCTGCCTTTCCCTAGGGTCCAGGAGAGACCCTCAGGTGACCAGAATCAGGGGTGGGTGGAACTATATGCTGTGTCAGACTGGTGTTTTCTGTAGACAGATAATACAGAGTACCAATGGCAGAGTCACAGGAGGAAAAAAATGAAATGGAAAAAAATTCCATTCTTGGGAGTTTCCTTGTTTCTTGGAGTTGGAGGAAGCATTCTATTATTTTATTTATTTAATTATTCATTTGTTTTTGAGACAGAGTCACATGCATCCTAGGCTGGCCCCAGAGTCACTATGTAGTTGAAAATGACCTTCTGATCCTCCTGCCTCCACCTCCCAAATGCTGAGATTACAAGTATATACCACCATGCCTGGTTTACACAGTGCTGCAGACTGAACCCAAAGCTTTGTGCATGTTGGGCAAGCACTCTATCAACCAAGCTCCAACCCTTTTATTTGACATTACAAGAGACACCTCAGTGAAGAACTATACTGGCCTCAGGAACACGGTTTGAGAGCTATGTCTGCCTGTCAGCCCTGGGGCACAGCTAAGGGCATCTGTGTTCTGGCCTGGGCATCAGCCAGAAGAGAGGTGAGAGCCAGCAGTGATCTGAGTGGATCAGCCCTGGCAACATTCAGCCTCAGGCAAAGCTACACACCCTCCCTAGCTATTGGAGCTGGGCCAAGGGCAAGGGTGGGTCCCAGTGCCTTCCCAAGTGCCCTGCCCTCCCTGTGGCCTAACTGAGCCAGTGGAGACAGGCAGAGCTGACAAGCTGGAGGGAGGCCTGTAGCCTGGGCCTATGTGACTGTCTTACACCTCTACAGATTGAAAGATTGCCTCTACTCACTAGCCCCCACCTCTAGGCAATGAGCCCCTAAGTCCCCAAGGATAGAGTTAAACAGGAGACAGCCAGAGCCAGGCCTGCTCTGCCACAGGCCGATGTCACTGGGAAGGTATGGAGACAGGAAGGCAGTTCCCACCCGGCCTCTGAGTGCCACCAGGTTTCTAGATAACCAGCACTGGCATGGGACCAGCCTTTCTGGGGGCAGGACATGAACAAGTTATCCATTCCTTCAGTAAACAGCACTAAGGCCATGCCAGAAGCTAGGAAGCCAGAGACCGATAGGGCCAGACCCACTCTCAGAGCCTACAAGGGAAAGACATGGGGCAAAATTGACACTCTGTGAGTGACATGACCCAGTGCTGAAAACACAGAGCTGGGGCCAAGGAGGCTTTCTAGTATAGGTGGGGCTTTTTTGTTTTTGTTTATAAATCGATTTATTTAGATTTGTGTGTGTGTGGTGTGTGTGTGTGTGTGTGTGTGTGTTATGCACATGTGTGTTTCCAAGGGCAAGAGAAGTCCCCGTGTCCATGCCTCTCCCCTCTTCCTTCCTCCCTGGGCCACACCCTCTTGCTTCCCAGAGCAGACATTCCTAACCATAGCCCTCAGCCTGTATTGCCCAGGCCAGGGACAGCTAGGCTGCAATGGCCATCTGGGCCAGGTCCAGGCCTGCCATACAGTGGCCTGCCACTTGGCCAGGGGATGTCATTGCACTGCTTGATAGCTCTATTAGCTCCAAGCTCTAGGCAGGGAGTTCAGTTATGGGGACTCCCAGTTGACCATCAGGGGGCCCCTGCATCAGGAAGGGCTGGGTCCAGGGAGGAAGGGCGGAAGGCAATGGGGAGGTCAGAGGTTGAGCCATGGCCCTGAGGCACCTTGGCAGGGTAGATTAGAGAGAGAGTGGCCTCCTTGACACATGAATCGGGCAGCCAGCAGGAAATACAGTCCCAGACAACAAACCCGGGCTTCTCAAGTTGCTGGGAAGAAAATCTGCACCCACTCTGATCCACAGGCCCTGGCAGAGACTCCATGGTGGGCCATGGGTTGGAAGCACTGCCAAAGCAGTTTACCTCATTCCTTAAAGCTAGCCTCTGCTACTGCTGCTGCGACCACCCCACCCCCTACTTCCCCTAGCTCTGACTCTGGCCTCCAACCTGGCACTTTCCCTGTGCTTTCCCTTTCCCAGCCTGCCCCAGCCTAGCATGAGGTACCCAGGCCCTTGCCTCTACCTTGCTTTAAGTAATTTATAGCTCACTTAGCTTCTTGAGGGGAATTTCTGCTTCTCCCAAGACTCACCAGTCAGCTGAGGGTATCTTCCTTCCCTGGCCCCTAATGCAAGCAAGCGGGGTGCATGGACCACCATATCTATCAGAAGTCCTGTGGCTTTGTGGTTACCAGGTTGGGAGAGGGGAGATTAGAGCTGATGGAAGAAGCTATACATTAGCAGAATTTCTCTGGGCCTACGAGAAGGCCAAAGCAGACAGAGTGTGTCTAAGAGCATTCCTGGTGTAGAGGAAGCTGGAACCATGGATTACAGGCCCAGGTTCATCTCTCAGGGGTGTACAATGTGAGGGCTACACCAGGTCCTGTGTTAGAAGGCTCTTCAGTTCAATAAAGTGAAGGGACATGGGCCGGGGAGTCAGGAGACCCACATTAGCCCCACCAGCTACTTGTTTTGATAAAACACGAGCCTTTCAGAACCACCATTTATTTCCCTATGCATTAAATAGGGATAGTAAAGACTCTCAGGGTGCTGGGGAGATGGCTCAGTGGATAAAGTGTATGCCACACAAGCATAGGACCTGAGTTCAGATCCGCAGTACCCACATAAAAAAGCCAGGCGTGGCTGAATGCATATGTAACCCCAGCACTTGGGGATAGAGACAGGAAGATCTGCAGAGCTTGCTGGCCACCCAGCCTAGCCAATCAGTGAGCTCCAGGCTCCCCTGTCTCAAAAAATGAGGTGGATAGCAATGGAGAAAGACACCTAACATTGACCTCCGGCTTTCAATGCACACACATTAACACATACACAACATGCATGCACATGTGCAGGGGGAGGGGTATCAAACAAGTAATAACACACATTAAAGTCTTTTGGGAAGCATATTTTAACAAAACATTAAGACATGGCATGCATACTGCCACTTCCTTTTCCTGTGCCCAAGGCAGGCATTGCTAATCAAGCTCAGCACTTTCTCATTCAGCTATATTATTACATCAGAATTCCTCTCACTATATATTCCAGGAAGCCACATCAATAGGTCAGAACTGTGAAGTCTCTAGCCTCACAAGCTCAAGGTAATAATGCCATTGTGGAGATCCCATCAGACTCAAATGAAGCTGCTAGGACCAGAGTGGGCAGGAAGTCAGGGAGGCCTAACATGGGCAGTCCCCAGAGTAGAACCCGAAGGTCCTGGTTCAGCCAATTACCCAAGGATTATGTATCCGCTATTAGCTCTGCAAGCAGCTTAGACTGTTATTGGGCCCCATCTCCTAGGACTCAGAGTGGTTGTGATGATGTACATTCTCCAAGGGGAAGAAAAGTGCCGATGCAAAGTAGAGGATACACAGGGGATGCACCAGACGGTTCACCTCTCTGCAGGCAGGGCAGGGAGTTCAGCTGAGCTGTCTTATTTGCAAAAATCTTTTGCCCCCACCATGCTGACTGGCACCCCCAGTTCCTCTTTCGACTATTGCAGTTCCCTGAGCAAATCTTAGTTCAACCTTCAGCTGACATCCACGTAGCGCCCTGGCAGTGCCAAGGTTGATAGGGGTGACAGACCCTCTGCAGACTCCACCCTCTCTGCCTCCTCAGAGTCCTTCCTCCAGGTGACACCCCCTGAAGAAGGTGTCACTCTGCCTAGGGTTTTAAATGCTATATGTTCAGGCAAAGTCCTGGCCAGACAGGAGTGAGGGCAGCCCCAGAGCTGGTCTTTTGAGAAGCCAGTCCCAGAGATTCTGCAGTTCTCCAACAGAGCCTGCTTGACCCCCAGCGGCTACCAGAAACCCCTGCTACATCAGAAACCTTTCCTAATGGCGCCTCCAATCCCAGCTACTGGAAGAACTGTATTGTGAACCTCCAGAGATAGATGAAGCACCCCCAACTTCTGATGGATCTTTTAAGGATAAATTAGCCCCTCAAAGTATAGACTTCCCTCCCAGGGCCTTTGCAATGCCAAGAATCCAATACGGCACTCAATGCCTGCCAGGCCCCAGGGGTCCTGCCACCTTCTGGAAGTTCAGCTCCCCTCTGTGTCTCATTCCCCAAGTTCTTGTCCCCAGAGCTAGCAACTGGGAGCACCTCCATCCCATCCCACCCTCCACCCCCCAGCAGCAGAAAGGCAACAGGGCCCCCATCATGGATAGAGATGGAGCCTGGAGCACACCAAAATTTCGCTGAAAACAGGAAACCACGAAGCTGACATGCCTTCACTTGTAGAGTCCAGAGAGAAGAGAGTCAAGAGAAGCAGGAGGAAGTGGCAGCTGTTCCGCTGGGGGCCTCCTCCCCTTTCCACTCAGCAGCAGCAAAGCAGGGGTCTGAAGGTCAAATTCTTAGAAGTTGTCTCAAAGCATCGAGGTCCAAAGCCGAGGAGGGGAGGGCTAGAGACAAGCCATTCTCTCTAAGGGACAGGCCACAGTCTTCCTGAGTCTGGTCTGTGGGTTTGTCCTTTGACCCTAGGGGAGCGCAGCCCTGCCACAAAACACCTAGCACTTCCCTACTCCGGCCTGCTGCCCTGAGAGTTATTAAGGACAGCACAGTCTCTGTAACTGTAGAGGGTCCATGTTAGCAGATGGAAGACCCTGGGGACAAAGCAGGAGTCAGGCCTCCACTTGAATATCCCTGTGATGATTCAAGCCTTCTTTTTGCTCTTTCCTCAAGGCCTCTAGCATCCCAAGCCCCAGGCACAGCAGGTGGCCTTAGGCATCACCAAGCAACTTGACTAGGCTCCCAGCAGGTGGCTTACTGCCACAGAGTTGCCCAGAGCAACTCTTCCTTCTACCCCTACCCAGACATCCCCAGGCACTGGGTAGGTTTCTCTCTGCCCACAGGGCCTGAGTCTGAGTCACAGTCCAGGCTGCCTCACCCAGGCTCAACTCAACACAGCCAGTGGAGGCTGAGGGAAGACAAGTGCTCCTGCATTGGACAGTTTGCTCTCTAAGTGCCAGGGCTCCTTTCATGGCGGAGCCTGAAGGCTGGTTTACCCAGCCTCACCCCTCTTCACTCTCAGACACCATTTGCCCTGTTTCTACCCCCGCCCCCCGAAGAGATGGCCCTTTCTTTCCATGCTTTAAAATTTTCTATGAAGGATTCCCCTTGCATGCCCAGGTCATGGCCAGACCCTGGAGACGGGAGCCAAGCGTAGCATAAGAGCAAAACAGGCTTTTTCTCTGTGCTACTGGTTCACTGTGAGGTGAGGCCCAGAAGATCAAAAGTTAGGAGAGGAAGCCTCCCCAGGCTCCAGGCCTGCTACACACCAGGCTTTTCAAACCAGTGCCTCCAACCCACTCACAGTTTGCAGCTGTCGCCCCACGGGGTCTTTATTAGCACCCCTTTCACACTCGTTGCCCAGTACAGACAGGGTATTATGGGGTCACCTTTGCTGCTGCCCACCGAGCAGTGGGATCAGTGGGTGGTAAGGACAGGAAAGAATGGGCTCACAGTGGCCTCTGGACTGAGCACGTACTTCCTGTTTCAGAGCCTCTGGCCATTGAACTCTGGGGACCACCATGCAGGCAATGAGAGCCCCAGATTCGATTAAACTGTTGACAAGCCCTCAGATTGCTGGCAGAAGGCAGCTGAAGTTCCTGGAAGGATAGGGGACAGGCAAACTGAGATCCAGAGCTCAGAGAACAGAGGGAGACCAATAGAGGAACAGTCATGGGTGACACAGCAAGCCAGCCACACACCCACAGTGGGCAGGAGTCTCCCACATCTTGTGTCTCTTGCCTGGGAGGATGGCAAGGTGCCCACCTCATCCTATCTGGGGTGCCAGGTCCCAGGGAGAAAGATTGCTGCCACGCTGGACATTCTAGGACCTTCTTGGGATAGATCATTTGGCATCTGTGGCTGGTAAAGTCAGGTCTCTAGAAAGGACCCAGTGTTCTAACATCTTGAGCACAGAGATGAGCAATCCAGCATCTTCTCCTTTCCCACCCACGTAACATCCAGTGGTGGTGGGGGGAGGGTCTAGGCTCAGAGCAGGAGAGAAGGGGCTGGGGCCAGGGCCAAGGCCAAAAGGTCTACTTCAAGGGCCAGCCCTAGGTCAAAAGTACCAGCCCCAAGCCCAGGCACTAACTGCCCATGGTCTCTCAGCTGGTCTAGATGAACTCAGAGTTTGGAGAGTCAGGGACTGGATCTGTAAAAGAAAGGAAAGGCAAAATGAATGGAGTGGGGCGCTGTGTCCTTTCCCTCAGCTCTATGCCAGAGTTCTCACAGAGGTTGGGATCCAGACATTTACCAGTCAGGATGCTGTAAAGTCAAGGACACTCACCCAGGGATGGGAAGAAGACTTCCCCAGGACCCGGAGGAGACAGAGGTGTGCCAGGCTCAGAAAGCAGGTGCCTCCCTGACTCAGAAGGTTGCCGCTGGGCCACATAGGACAGTGGGGGCCTGGTCTTGGCCTCAGACATCCCCTGGTAGGGTTGAGAGGCATCAAAGCCTGGGTTTTCTATTCCATGGGTGTTGCTGCTGAGGAAGCAGAATTGACAAGGATCAATACACAGTGGCTTCTTCTGTCCCTGCCTCCCTCTTCTCTTCCCTTCCCAGCAGGGCAACCTGTGAAAGCCCTTCCAACTCTGACGTTCTAATGGGATCACTGCTAGGACTTCCTTTGACCTGCCTCAGAAGCTGTCTCCTTCAAATACACATGATAGGACAGGGACCAAGCTCTTAAAGGTGGTTTGTTTCCGAGTCCATCCAGGCCAGGATGCAGGGCTACCCTAAGCACAGACAGCACTCCCCGACCTACCCATTTCTGACCAGCTGCCTGCCCAGGGCCACCAGTGGCTGGCTCCTGTCTGTTCACCCTGACCACTTTCCATGCATGACCCTGGGCCTGGGCCACTGGCTTCCTCTCAGTGTTTCAGTGTCTGCCCCAGTTAGCTACTTCTACCCCTCCCCTCAGCTAACGTCTGAGGCCCAAAGGTGCCCACGAAATACCTCTGAACAGCATTAGGGTCCTGTCTGCTGCCTGAGGGCACTGTGAGAGCAACCAACGGGCACAGGTGTGCCAGACCCAGCAGCAGATACAGTTGTATTTCTAGCCAGCTGTGTCATATGCCAAACAGGGGCCCTACACCACATAGAAACATCCCCTCCTAACAACTGTTCTGGGAAGTTTCTGGAGGTTACTATGGGTCTTACCTGTCCATCCTCACCAACTCCTGGGCACCTACAGAGAGATAGAAAAGAAGCTGGTCACAGGCAGAAAAGCTTCCCCGGATACCCACCCTACTGTCCCTGGAACATGCCCAGGGAGGGGTCTGTCCAGCCCAGGAGCCCACTGTGTTCCCTGAGGAGGTCCAAGGGTACTGTTCCATGTATATGCCAGTAGGTGTGCCCAAGGAGTGGCCAACTTTGTGGATAAGTGAAACTCAATCTGTGGTTTTCCATGTGTGGTGCAGTGTCTGCTCCCAGGCTTGTACTATATACCCTACTATATACAGTGTGCTAACTGACTACATGTGCTAATTGTGGCTTCCTATTTGCCCCAGTCTGGTCTTCAGCCATGATTTCCTAGGTAGATAGTTCAAGGTTGGCTTCCTTCCCTGAGTCTCCACATTCCTTAACAGTGGTGACATGTTCCCAGGAGCCCCACCACTTCCCAGCCGTTCTACCCACTTTCTCATCCCACCCAAGCTGCTGTCACCTCACCCCATTCTTGGGATCCCCCAAAATTGGCCATCATCCAGATACAGGAGCCCCCAACTTCCCTTTTGCAGCTCCCCCAGCCCTTCTATGGGGAAACAGGCTCAGGGAGGGGTGTTACTACTGACAAACACAGGGAAGTTGCACAAAAGTTCCTGAAATCTAGCCTCCTGGTTTCTGTTTACAGAGAGACTATGTCAGGCCTCATGGGCGAAGCTCATGGTCCCCACCTACCTCTGGTGGAAGGACGTTGATCTCCGCTTTAGGATTGGGAACACTGAGCACCTTTTCTTTTCCTTTCATCCTAAGCATGGCTTATTCCTGAGCATCACAGACTAGGGCCTGGGAGCTTTCTTCCCAGAGTGTGCTGTGCACCTTGTGTCATCCTACCAGTTTCTGCTTAGAGTCTACATGGAGCAGTGATCTTCAAGCTCAACTCACTCTCCTTTGACATTCACTCCCTCTCATCAACCCTCTGACACCTTGAATCTCTGCCACTAAGTCACAAGTCATAGGACAAGATTTTAGACTTTATCATTTGGAGGTAGGGAAGAGACTCAAAAGTATGGCTATTTAGAAGATAAATTCTTGCTCCCTTCTTGTGGCACATAGGACACCCTTTCAGGACAGGCTACAGGACAGAACGCTTCACAGGGGAGGCATTCAGTACACCCTCAGCTAGCTTACTGTCACCTCAGAGTTCTCTAAGTCCAGGTCGTGTGCTTTCCTGGGGCAGACGGGAAGTCTAGAACCAGCACTTAGACTGAAGGTACGTGGACTAGGTGAACTGGGGGCCTCTGTGTCTTCAGGATCCCAAACAGCATTCTGGCCTCCCTACTCAATATATACACACACACCTCGGGTTTTTCTTTCTCTAACCATCTCCATCCCAATACTTCCCTCTAGCAAAATGGGGACCCTGTAGAGACTCTGCAAGAAAAGTGGGGCCCAACAAGGGTTGAGCGCAACCCCTCTCCACACACTCAGCAGTCTCCACCCAGAATGGGTTTGTTTCCTAGTTCTTGTTCCCTGTTCTGACCACATGACAAGGCAGGGCTGTGGTCTGGCCAAAGGGGACAGAAAGCAGAAAGCACCTCAGTATCCGGAACCCAGCCTAGCTGGGTGTCTCCCTGTCCCTTCCCCCGCCTCACAGAAGAGCAGCAGCTCCTGGCAGCTTTGCAAGCCATTTCTGTCCCCTGTGTAACCCCAGGTTCCTCCTCTCTAACCCATCACGTGCCCAGCCCTGCCCCTTCTGGGATGCCTGTGGGCAGGCTGTAACAAGGTTGTGACAGCAGGGAGCAATCTGAGAGGAAGGGGGAGGTGGCCCTCAGTGGCCCACTGTGCAGTTCCAGGCTGGGCCTCTAGGAAAGAGGACAGAGAGAGATGGCAGGTTGATTGGGGGTGGAGGGGAAGGCAGAGGAAATCTGGTGACCTGGTAACAATAGTCTTCCTTCAGGAAATTTCTGCTGCCAGGCAGAGGGAAGAGGCTGGGGAGGAGCTGTAAGAGCAGAGCTCCCTACCCCCACTCCTACCCCTCAGAGGATGAAGGCTGATCAAGGCTCACAGGCAGGGCCTGGGGAAGACAAAGGGGACTGTCACCCAGAAGGAGGTGTGACAGGTGTTTGTGGTCATGAACTTGAAGCCTAGCTCCACCACTTATTTGTAGTGTGGTTCCTTAGGCGAGTCACAGAACCTCCCTGAGCCTCAGTTTGCCCATCTGTACAGTGAAGACAACAGTGTTACCCATTGGGGTTGTTGTGGTCACTACATGAGGTAAGATATGTGACAATTTGGCAGAATGTCCAGGAGAGCTGTCCTTCCACTTAGGGATTGTTGGTTTGGTGCTCAAGTGCAAGTATTTTTGTTACATGGTAGAATGACACTCCTTGGAAAGAGCCAGGTAGAAAGCTCTGAGATTAAGCCTCAACTCTGTGCTCACTAAGTCGTGTGATATTTGGTTAGTCGTTTAATTCACTGACCCTAGGCTTTCCTCTATGGAAAGGAAGGGGGCAAGCTAAGTCATCGCTAAGACCTCTGCTATTTCTGACATTCCAAAAATCATTTTTTGGCCCAGCCCTTACAAAATAAACCCACCCATCGTTCAAGCAGGTCCCCAAGGAATCTCTAAGTAGCCACATCCTTTTAAACCAGTTTGAGTTAGTCCTACCACTCCGTGTGATTAACCACTCATTTGATGGTAACTTCCTAGAGAATGCCAAGCCAGCTCTGCCTGGGGACTGACTCAGCTGGCAGGCATCAGGTTGCAGAAGGGGTACACCTGGGTTCCCTCGGTTGCCTCCTTTCAGCTCTTTGCAGGGATGCAGCCCTCATGTTCCACTGGCCTCAGAATCAGGAAACACCCCTAGCATACTTACGGCGGTGGGAGGCCATCTGCCTTTGTTTATAGACCAGCAGGAGGATGAGTGGGAGGCAGAGGATGCCCACGATGCAGGCACCCGTGGCCAGGGCTGCAGCTGTGATATCTGCAAGGACACAAGGCAGCTGACATGAGGAACCCTTTCCCACCACTCCCTCCCAAAGGAAAACCGAGGACCAGGAAGGGAGGGGCCAGGCAGCGAGGTCCCATAGCCAAACCCTCAGTGACTTCTGCCGAGATAGCCCTACGCCCTCCCCACCCCATGGGTCCAGAGCACAGGGAAGCAAGGCCTGTCACAGCTGAGCCAAGGAAGCTCCAAAGAAAAGAGAACAAACCCCTCACTCATCCTACCCTCAAGGAAGAGCTGTACCACCCTGAGCCTCAGGTTGTCCTCTAAAGGGACCTTTACAAATCACATGCCAGAGTTCAAGGTCAAAAGGAGCCCAAGTGGGCTAGAGAGATGGCTCAGCAGTTAAGAGCACAGGCTGCGCTTACAGAAGACTAGGGCTCCAGTCCCAACACCTTTGTGGTGGGTAACAACTATCTCTAACTCCAATGCCAGGGGATCTGATGCCCTTTTCTGGCCTCTGCAGGCATTGCATGACACAGGTACACTTACATCCATGCAGGCAAAATACTTATGCACATAAAATAAATAAGCCCAAATAATGGAAACATTTTAGAATGTGACTGTTATACAACAGTAAGGATATAATTCCATCACATACTATTGAACTGTGCATTTAAAAATGGATGTGATGATATATGGGATCATGAAAACAAAATAATGAAAACAAAATATCCCAGATCCTTGAGCTCTAGGGTGAAGCGCCTGGAAGCCCTGCCTCTTCATCTCATTCACCAGTTATATTAGAATAAAACACGCAGTAATAAAGGAAGGGCTGTGCCTCAGTAGTAGAGCTCTTGACAAGCATGCATAAGCTCCTGAGTTCCATTTCCAGCACCAGAAAAAAAAAAATAGAGAAATATAAACTTTGTCTGACTTTTTTGTGGGGGGACAGGGTCTCCCTGTAGCCCTAGATGGCCTGGACCTCCCTATGTAGATCAAGCTAGCCTTGAACTCCAGAGATCTGCTTGCCTTTGCCTCCCAAGTGTTGGGATTAAAGGCGTGTACCATCACACCCAGCTCTATCTGACATTTTTAAATGACCAAAAACAAAGGTACCAGTTTAAAAAAAAATTCAAGGGGCTGCGGAAATGACTCAGCCAGTAGCGTGCTGTGCAAGCATGGGGACCTGACTTCCAATCCCCAGCACCCACGTAAAAAGCCAGTGTGGCTTCATGCTCCTGTAACCTCAGTACTGAAGCAGGGTAGACAGTAAGAGCCCTGCAGTTCATTGGCCAGTCAATATAGCCTGACCTGTGAGTTCTAGGTTTAGTGAGAGATCCTGTCTCAAAAAATTATATGGAAAACAATTAAGGAAGACACCCATTGTCAACTTTGACCTCTGCATGCGCATGTACAGATGTGCACACACAGGAATGACATGCACCAAAAACAACTCAAAAGTCTCTCCCTTCTCCTCAACCTGGGCCCCTCACTGCCCACAATCCTCATCTGTCTCGATCTGCTCTTGTCTTACCAGATCACAAGGCAATGCTGTTCCCCACCAAATGCAGTTTGGCCATCTCTCTGTCTATACAGACCCACATTATTCAGCTCAAGGCTGTATCACAGCTTGTCCCAAATTGATGAAAACATCCCTGACTGGCAGAGACATTGCTTCCATTTTCCACAGTCCTCATTCCAAAGCAAGGACCCTACTGGGCTTGATTTTCTGTTCACCCAGCAGTGTATCTGGACATAAGCACCTAGCATCAAAGTGCTGAGCCAGGAAGCATTGTGTAGGAAGCATTGTTGTGCATGTTTTCTCCTAGACTGTTGTGAAATTGACTCAAGAAAGGGCTGAGCTGCTGCACCATCCCCACGGCATGGGGGACTTGGTTTATTTCAGTCCATCTGCTGACTTCAGGAGTTTAGCTGGGAACAGACAAGCCCTCAGAACCACAACCAGCGTAAACCCATTTCCTTCCCAATTTGAGCCCTTCCCTCTGCCAAATCATGGCTGGCATCCCTTGTCACAGGATCAGGTTCGCCCCAGAGAGTTCTGGGAGGAGGGTTTGCCATGGCCTATACGTCACCTCTGTACTTTATTTGGGAATAAAGACCATTTAAATCTCACTGTATGGCTAAGCAACCTGGAGGTGGAAGCAGGCTTGCAGGCAGTTATGCAGGAGGCAAGCACTTTAGAAGTACCCATTGGTATAGGAACAGTTGCTAGGCTAATTGCAAAGCAAGTTCTGTTCCACATTAAAGCAGGTTCCCTGTAGATTTTAACGTGGCTGCATTTGAATGTGGAATATTGAAAGTAAAAACAGTCTGTAACTCATACTACTCAGTATTCCTAAACCCCATCAAAGGACCTGACTGCAGGCAATATCTGAGAAACTGGCTACAAAAGTGCTCTTCTCTGGTCCCGCGGTTACTAAGCAACGCTTGGTGTGGTTGGCCAGGTGCTCACAACCTGCCTAGGAGGCCATTCCTTCCTGCCTGACTCTGTTGTCCCCAGGTGGAGATCCTGTCCTCTGCAGTGTCTCAAGGGGTGAGGATTTGGTTTCATTGCCAGAGCCTGTTTCCTTACAAGCTGGGTGTTGAGGCTAAGGTTGGGGACAGGGCTGTCCTTGGAGGCTTGGGGCACCTCTACAGAGCCTGACTGTCTGCAGTTCCCCATCCCTCACCCCAAGTGTGCTCAGAGCCTGGATTGGCACACACTGGAGAGAGGGGGAGAGCTTAGTCACTATCTGGAGCCAGGCTCTTCCTGGGAAAATGATGAGGCACTGGCAGAGATAGTGGCCAACGCCACCCTAGGGCATGTGCCTGGCTCTTACAGGTCAGGTAGGATGGGAAGACCCAGTGTGTTCAATCTGTCTGTGTCCAGGACCTGCCAAGTGCCCTGTGGGTACATTAGGAGGAGGCTAAGGAAAGCAGCTGGCACATCCTGTTACATTAGGGGTGGAGAGGGTACAGAGACCGACTGCCTGCCCCCGTCCTAAGCTCAGGTGAAACCCACAGCTGCTTGGCAATCCAATGCCAGCTCACACCTCTAGAGTCTCCTTCCCCTCGCCCCAGTACCCCCCAAACCTGAAACCCACCTGGACTTGTACCTAGTTCACAGTCTAGCTACTCTCCATGCCCTGTCCCAAGGGTAACATCCAGCCACTCAGATTGAAATAGAGAAAGAAAACAGAGAGGCCTGGTCTGGAAGCATTAACAGACCCAGTACCATGCTGTGGCTGAGCAATTGTGTGTGAGAAAGAGCTGGGTTTTGAACCTTCCAAAGGTAAGCAACAGTTAAGAGTAGTACTCAGTGGCCAGCCCCAGAGCCTGCTTAGCAATGACATGGGTCACCAACCAAATGCTCTAGAAGTGTGTTAAGAAACTAGACCATGTCCACCATCAGCTTCCATTTACCTGCCCTCTCGAATCAGCAGAGATGGATGAGGTGCCTTGGAATGTTAGCCTTAAAAGTGTGTATCAAGAGGTAACACGAGCCTGGTGTGGTGGCGCACACCTTTAATCCCAGCACTCAGGAGGCAGAGGCAGGCAGATCTCTGTGAGTTCAAGGCCAGTCCGGTCTACATAGTGAATTCCAGGCCAGCTGGGGCTACAGGGAGACCCTGTCTCAAAAAGAACAAAAAAAAAAAAAAAAAAAAGGTAACACAAGCCACAACTGCATGGCATTGGAACTGCTTCTGCTTCTGCTTGCTGCAGAGTCTGCCCCCCTTCCTGCTGTCTTGCTTTTCAGCTCCCTGGGCCTGAGACATGAACACTTCCCATCCCTGATGCAGCCCCTTAGATAACAAGTGCCCCGCTGCTAGGAGGAAAGGGGCACAGCTGTCCCTATTCCCCAGTGGAGAAATGACATCTAGAGTGAGAGTGCTACCTAGTGTCCACACACACATCCCCCAAAGGAAACCCAGGCTTCTTCACGTGGGAAACCAACTCTGGCTTACTGTCACATGTCTAGACCGTTGGAACCAGGAGTGTGGAAGGGGACTTCAGAGCTGTATCAGCATCCTCCCTTGCCCTCAGCTGCTACAGTGGAAGCAATTGTGTCCTTTTGGCCCTTGGTGAGCCCATTCACTGGACAGTGGCTCTCATGGAAGCAAGAGCCAGAAAGAGCCTTCTTAGCACCCCAGAATTGGAGAGGGTTGAAAATTTCAAAACCCAAAGGCAGAAATACGTGGCAAAAGAAAGCCTGACCACCCTGGAGTTCAAGACTTTCTCCTCACCCTGGGTTTCTTCTCTAGAGTCTCAGGAGCAGAAAACACCCCCAACTCCTCAGCCTCTCCATTTCACACCTTATCTCTCCAACACTGTCCCTCTTACCATCTTGCATCTTCTTCCCCACACACTGAAAGCATAGCATACGGCTTTTCATGAAGTTCTGTTGAAGCCGGGTGTGGTGGTTCACACCTGTGATCCCAGCATTTGAGAGGCAGAGGAAGGAAGCTCACTGCAAGTTTGAGATCAGCCTGGTCTACATAGAAAGTGCCAGGCCAGCCAGGGTCATATAGTGAGACTCTGTCTCAGAAAGGGAGGGAGGGAGGGAAGGAGGGAGGGAAAGAGGGAAAGAAAGGAAAATCCTGTTGATTCAGGGGAAGGCTGATCTATGGTCAGGGTGCACTCTGACATACTCCCTCCAGACTCTGAGTATGGGAGATCTGTCTGAGCCTCAGGTTCCCTACGCATAACATTCAGGCGGTAGTGAAGGTAGCAGTTTGCAAAGGCCTTGCAGCTTGGTGGCAGCTCCTTGAGGAAGAAGCAGGGCCAGGGTGATTGCTCAGAGTGAAGCACCCATGGGGAAGTGAGCATCGCCCATGCCCCCATCACTGCATCCTGCACACACACACACGTGTACACAGAGTGTGAGCTGCTTTGTGGGAAGGAAGGGGCCACTTAGAGGGGAACTGAGGGTAGCACCATGGCTTGGTACAGAGGGGACACTCGAGCTCAACAGTGTGTGGGGTTAGAGGAGCTTGAATCAAAAGCGTCTGCATGCCATACCTATTCATGTTCAATTATGCATGTGACTTGGTTGTGAAAATATGAGTAGTTTGAGTAAAAAGTCAACCGTGGCTTTGAATTGGGGCTCGGCTGGGGGCTGTGGTTCAGCTGTCCTCATTCTCGCTCAGACCCTCCTGTGTGTCCTGCTGGAGGCCAAGGTCATAGTCTTCCCTTCTGCCTCTCCAGGGCCTAGGCAGGGGTTGGCCACGCTGGATGCCTGGCAAGCCTATAAACCAAGGTCCTCTCTTCTTAGAAGACATGTCCTCTTGCCTTTTATCTCCAGGCGCTGTGCGTTCTCACCCAACTTCTCTGTGAGCAGAGCCCTCTCACCCACCCTCAGGGCCTCTCTCTTGACAAGCACCAGGGCTGACAGCCACCCAGAGTTGTGTACATCCAGTTTCCTTCCCCAAGAGGGCTGCAAATACAGCTGGGTGGACCTACAGTCAAGTCCCAGCTGTGCTGCTGGGCTGTGTGGGTCTGTACCTCAATTTCCACTCTGTAAAGTGAGGAGAAGGATGCCTGTGTTACAGAAGGAGCAGTGGCAGGAGTGCCGGCTTCTGGAAATAGGGGGATGGGACCAGCAGAAGGGGAACAGGGGTCCACAGGTATGTGAGGTGAGGGTCCAGAACAGGATCTGGGCCAAGGGTAAGGACTGAAAGAACAGAGTTCCCAGAGGGGTAAGAAAGAAGGTGGTTCTTACTGTTACTGTCCTGCTTGGAGGACTGGTACGCGATACATTTGGATGGTGCATCTTTGCCTGTGGGAGCAAAGAGGGGGCTGTTAGGTGAGTGTTGGGCCCAGAAAGTTGAAGACGCTTGGCCAGGTTAGTGCCCCACCTCCTGCCACAGGAACACTTGCTAGTGCCTGCCTGGCAGGACTGGACTAGTGGAGCCTGCACATGTGCACGCATACATAAGCACACAAACACACCCCTCAACACCCCAGCTAGTCTCATACCATCCCCCAGAGGGAAATCGGTACTTGCTGGCACCTACACCTCTGTCCAGTCCAGTCCTTCATTCTCAGCTGGATAGACACACAGATACATACACACACACACACGCATTATAGCCATTCACCAGCTCAAATTCAGGACATAAGTCAGTCTCACTATTGCCTGCATCGCCTCATGAGCAGTGATACACCTCCAGTCCAATACCCTTTCATAGGAAAAAGTCCCTCTGTCACCAACAGAGGACATATGCCCTACCTCTCCATCATAAAAGATAATCATATGTCTACACATACATGCACCCACCTCTTCTCCCACACACATGCCCTGAGTGCCATGTCACCTGTACACCCTCACATATGTGGCAGATACACAGACCCACCCACTCTCCTCCATGGCCAACTGTGAAGGACACGTCACCTGTCTGCACCTGCAGCTCAATGGACCCCTGGACCCGGTGCTCCGAGTGGTGGTGCTTGATTTCCACCACCAGACAGCAGTAGAGGCCGCTGTCCTGCAGGGTCAAGTTGCGCATGATGATGGAGAAGTTGCCATGGTGGTCGGATGTTGATTCCAGGCCGTGGGTATGGGCCAGGTCCTGGCTGGTGTTGGCAGCCTGGTGGCTTCCATGGTGCAGATGAAGGTTCTGGAACGTGAGGTTGCGAATGGGCCTGCGTTCTTTGCACACTTGAACCTCACCTCTCGAGCTGAGGAACCATGTCTTATAGAAGGTCACGTCATGCCCTTTAGACACAGGGTCCAGGATCCTGCAGGTGAGGGTGACGTTCTGCCCCTCAGGACACACGTACAGGGAATATGGTGTGGCAACCTTGAAGGCTGCCACCAGACCTGTTCAGAAAGAAGAAAGTCCCTGTCACCCACCTGAGTGAGTGCCACTCCCTGGCACCCCCCAGAATGAAGAGAAAGCTTGGCTTCAGCCACTATCAGCTGCAGGCCCTGGGCAAATCAACTGACCTCCTGAGCTTCAGCCTCTTACTAGACACCCAGTGTACTCCATCCTAAGCTGCATGGGAGGAACCTCGGGGCCTCTTTTCCCAACTAGGGGCACCCTGAGATGGGAGAAAGTAGGGAGAGACTCCAGGCAGACAGCAGACTGGCAAAGACAGAGCCCTCTCCCAGGTAGAGCAAGAGTCCTGGCCCCTGCATGGAGCAAGTGCCGAGTGCCATACCCTCTGCTTGGGAGTCAGCAACCCAGTCATGTAGACAAGCCTGCATTCATGACATGGGACCCTATGGGTGGAGGCAAGCCAGTACCAGTTTGTAGGAACTTGGGAGATAGGAAACGGCCTTCTGGGGATGGGCATGGCCCTTCTAGAAAAAGGATGGGTCTTTGGACTTAAAGGCAAGCTGGTAGGAAAGCATGATAAACCAATAATGCCTGGGGGACAGGGACAGGGATGTACCACCAGTCACTCCATCCGTGTACCTGCCGCTCACCCAAATGTAGTTTTCTTTTTCTCATAAACAGATAAAGAAATTGCCTGGTCCTTTTTATCCCAACCCATTCCTTCCCTGTTTAACCAGATGGACTTGCCTTTTTGGGGGAAGGCAGGGTCTCATATATCCCAGGTTGACCTCAAATTCTTTATTTAGTTGAGGATAACACTAAAGTGATCTTCCTGCCTCCATCTTTCAAGTTCTGGGATTGCAAGAAAAGACATCAACCCAGTTTATAAGGTACTGAGTCTCAAACCCAGGGCTTCGTGCATGCTGGGAAAGCACTCTACCAACTGAGCTATAGCCCCAGCTTAGCTCTGCATTTTGAGAACAGAATACAGGCAGACCCTGCCCCTGTGTCTAGCTGTGTCAGCCTATTTTTTTCCCCTATGCAAGGAGAAAAATATTCCCTATAGCATGGGTTGGGAGAGGCAGGAGAGGGTGAAAGATAGGAATAGAAAGTACTCTAGCTGGGCATGGTGGTGCACGCTTTAATCCCAGTACTTGGGAGGTAGAGGCAGGCGGATCTTTGTGAGCTCAAGGCCACCCTGGTCTACGTAGCAACTTCCAGGCCAGCAGGGAGACCCTGTCTCAAAAAGACAAAAAAATATATGTGAGAGGAGCCGTCTGTGGTCATCACACCCTAGCATTGCCTTGATTTTAGTTCACACTGTAAGAGCTACAGATAGGGAAGAAGGGTTTGGAAATATAGAAGAGTGCTGAGGAGATGGCTGTCAGTAAAGTGCTTGTCTCACAAATGTCAGGACCTATGTTAACCCTAGAACCCACATAAAATCCCAGGTGGGTTCCTGTAATCCTAGTGACAGTAAGATGGGAGGGTAGAGACAGATGGATCCCTGCACCTTGCTGGCCAGCTAGACTAGCCTATGTGGCAAAGTTCCAGGCTAATGAGAGACCTTGTCTCTGAAAGGTGAAAAGTGTACCTGCCACCAAGCCTGGAGACCTGAGTTCTACATGATGGAAGAAGAGATCTGAACTCTTGCAAGTTGTGCTTGGCCTCCACATTCATGCTGTGGTATGTGCATGTGAGTGCACATACCAAATAACTATTTTAAAAGGTGGAAGGTACCTGAGGAATGACACTAGGGGTACGTGTACACATACGTACACACACACACACACACACACACAAATAGCTATGCTCTTTTTACTACTCCAGTCAAAGGCACCAACCTGGACCTCCTCCTCCAACGTCCCCTCCCTGCCCTTAGAGCCCAGGACTCTTGATACCAGGCCGGGAACCATCAGAGAGCCGACAGCCCGGCCTAGTGCAGACGGCAGCAGCCTGATGTGGCTTTTGGACTTAGAGTCCAGTCACTGTGAGTCACTAGACTGAGCCTGAGATTCATTGGAAGACAAATGAAAACATCAACTGGGAGGATGGGATTTGAGCAAGGACTGGACTGTAATCATTCACATAAGTATTTTGAAAGTGTTTGCTGTGCGATTCAAGTTTTGGGGTTGGGGGCGGGATTCCAGTGGAATAGAGACACTGACTTCAAACAGCTAGTAATCTGATCCTGGAGTGTATATGTGTTTAAAAGGGGGTTGGAGAAGGCAACGGTGTCATGGCGCCACAGGGTGTCTGCAGGAGTGGAGTGGAGTTTTAGGCCTAGGAGGTGAGGAAGACAGACATTGCAGAGCCATCCCTTATCTCTGCCCAAACATGAGAGGTACACACCCCCACCCCCCTCACCCCCATCTAGAAGCCACAGACTTTTAGAACACCATTGCCAAGGTAAGCAGAGATTTCAGAACTTATTTGGCAAGATACTAGCTCCTCTTCAGACAGTGACAGAGGCCCAGGCAGGGAAAGTGATTCAACTGAAGTTGCAGCAGGTCTGAAGTTAAGAGTTCAGGTCCTGAAAATTGCAGGTAAAGCAGGCTTTGGTGAGAATGGCAAGGAGCAAGTGTGTGTTGTGCACTGCGCCCAGGGACTGTGACCTATGAAACAGCCCAAGAGGCTGGAGTACGGTTGTTCCCCTTTCACTGATGAAGAAACCAAGTTCAGGGACAGGGTTCAGTAACTCACTTAGCATCCCACAGCAAGGAATTGCTAGAGACTTCAACCAAGGTGCACAGACAGCGTGCTGGAGAAACCACAGGCCTCCAACCTTCAGTCCCTTCATTTGACCCTCAAAATAGTCTAGGCTTTTGTTTTTAGATAATTAACATTTTTAAAATAGGTGTCTTAGTTTGTTTCTCCATTGCTGTGACAAAATACTCTGACCCGTACCAACTTGGGGAGGAAAGGGTTTATTCAGCTTACATCTCCCAGGTTCATCAGGGAGCCCAAGGTAGGAACTCAGGGCAGGAACCTGGAGGCAGGACCTGGAGCACAGGCCATGGAG